TGCCGCCACTCCATCTCCATCATTAGGCTTCAGAATTAACAGCTTTCCTCCGTTTGCTGCTTCCCCAATGCAGCTGCTCGCCCGCTGCTGCTGCTTCAATCCAAGCACTCGCCCCAGAATCTCCTCTTTGGGAAGAACTCCAATCTGAGCACATGGGAAGGGGACCCCACACTTCTTTGTCTGCCCCCAAGAGCCCCGTGGGCAGCAGGATGAGTCCTGCTGCTCACCGCAGCCCTGGGACAAGCAAAGCAAGGCAAAACAGCAACGAGAAAACAACCCTGCTCCTCCGGCTGTGCCCGGGATCAGACCTCCGTGTTCCTGATGGGTGAATAACTTACAGCAAGACGATGTATTTATAGCAACGAGCTCATGAGTTTTTAATTAAAATTCCATTTTCTTTTGCTCCAGATGGCACGAACAACCGTTTTGGTGTTTTCATTGGGTTTTTAAGGGATCACGCGGCTCCTGCTGGGCAGGGTTTGTTCTGGGGCACAGGAGGGCACTGGGGAGGGTTCTTGCACCCCACACCACATGTTGGCTGCCCTGGTGGGTTTGTTGGAGAGGGAAAGAGATTGCCCACCCCCTACACCCATGTCTCATCCTCAAGGACTGCAGCCACCCTGCTGCTGCAGAGGCAGAGCAACTCACAGGTCAGGAACAGCTCAGTGTCAGCAGCCATCACATCAGGGAGCCGAGCCATCCGCCAGCACTGAGCAGAGCTGGCAGGGCAGGACAATGTGTTCGAGAGCAGAAAGGGCGAACAGGGATGTGGGATGTGCCAGAGCCTGTCCACACCATCGTGACCCCATTCCCACCATCCCATCCCCATCATTCCATTCTCACCATCCCATCCCACCCACTCAGTCCCTGTTGTCCTATCCTCACTATCCTATCCCCCCGTAGTTCTATCCCCACCATCCCTTTCTGAGGAATCCCAGCTCAGCAGGGCACAGGGTGCCGCTCTCTCATTTCAGATGTTCACACTTATACTTCCTAACCTTCGGCTCACCCAGGGGAACCAGGGGACTGAGGACACCCAATTTTCCTGCCCATTCCCACCACACCTGGTGAGTCCAGAGAGCCTGGGGTGACACACAGATCTTGAGCTGGAGCCCCATCCCCAGCCCAAAGTGGGATGCGAAGCACTGAGAGGATTTTGGGCCAGTTCCACTGTGCTGCTGTTTTCCACATGAACGGCTCGATGAGACAGAGATGTGTTGTGGGAAACTTCCAACTCAGTGACCCTGTGCAGAAATCCAAGTTCTGCATTTCGTTAGCAAAATGTTTTGCAGCAGAGGGTGCAGTGCAGATGCATAACCCTGGGACACTTATGCAGAACTCATCAGCAAGAAAGGGCTAAAATACTGCAGAAAAAAAGTCTCCGAAGAAAAAGGGCTGGGCAGTCCTTCACATGCCTTGGGGAAAGAAGCAGAGCACTCTGTTTAAGGTGTAGGAGTCTTCAAATTTCGAGCCCAAGGTCCTGTGCAGAGCATGCCAGGCTACCTCAGCATACAAAGCATCCAAGAAAGAATCAGACTGAGTCAGACCTTCATGGTGCACAGGGGGTGGTTGGAGCATGCTGCACTCAGTAAGTGGCACTGGTCCATCTGAGTGCTGCTGATCAGAGATGTACGAGGGATGAGGTCTGGTGTACCAGAGGACTCTTGGCTACTGCCCTGTGCTGTTTACTGCCTGGAGAAACCACCCCATCCCACTCCATACCATCTCACTATATACCAGTACTTCTCATCCCAACACATCCTAATACATTACGTACCATCACAACCCATTCCACCCCATCCCATTCTGTTCAACCAATCCCATCCTACCTTATCCCATCCAACTCATCTCATCCTACCCAATCCCATTCTAACAAAAGTCACCCCATCCCATCCCATCCTATCCAGCAGTTCCCATTCTATCCAATCCATATCGTTCCATCCAATGTGCCCCATCCCATTCAATCCATCCCATCCCATTGCATCCACCCAATCCCACTCCATCTTATTCCATCCAACCAACCCTTCCCCCCCCCCAACCAAAAGCCAGTTGCTCTCCCAACCTCTGCTTTGCAGAGGAACACAGCTCCTTGCCCTTTTATTTGCTGTCCAGCTACAGGAAGGTCAGGGAGTTGCTGCCCAAAGGGGACAGGTGACAGCCCCAGACCTATCGCTCTGCTCCATCTGCACATCCTCACTCCTGAGGAAGATCCATGGGACCCAAACCCTCTCCTTAGGAACCATCCCCATTCAAGCAGTGGCACAAAGCCCATCTCTGCCCCAGGGATGGCCCCAGCAGCCCCCTCCCCACCGGCTGCAGTCTGGCTGTCGGGGTGGAAACGCATTAATGCCGGCGCAGATCCCACAAAGACAAAATAAAAAGCCTTTGGGGAGTGACTCGGCAGCGCAGCCGGAAGAGAGACAGCACAGTTTTCTTTTCAGGAGGTCTTCTTGGCTTCTCTCTTTTTTAAAAATTTTATTTTATTTTTGGCAGCCTTGATGGCAGCAGGGTGGGAGTAAATGGCCTTGCCTGAGCCCGGATGCATTTGTGGCTTTCAAGAGGCAGAAGTGTCCGGAGTTTGAGAGGCTCTGTGCTTCAGAGGGCATGAGTCACGGCCATGCAGTGGGGCTGGATGGGGAGGAAGGGAGGGAGAGAGAAGGGCTGAGATCCCGTGTGGGGATTTGGGAGAAGGGTTCAGGAATGGAGGAGCAGGGAGCTGGAATGCCGGAGAAGTATGCTGAGGTGAAGGATGCTGGGATGTAGGTGCAGAGTTCTGGGGTGCAGGAGCAGAAATGTGGGAGAAGAGTGCTGGGATGCAGGAGCAGGGAAGCAGGAGCAGAGTTAGGGATACAAGAACAGGGTGATGGAGTGCAGGAAGAGGGATATAGGAGCAGGGTTCAGGGATGGAGGGGCAGAGATGCAAGATGCTGGGATGGACAAGCAAGATGGTGGGATGCAAGAGCAGAATTAGGGGGTGGAGGAGCAGGGATGCAGGAGCAGTTTTGGGATGGAGGGGCAGAGTTCAGGGGTGGAAGAGAAGGATGTAGAGATGCGTGAGTACAGTCAGGGCAGGTGGCCATATCCCAGCACCACTTTGCAGAGAGATGTTGTCCAACACATAAAGCCCTTCCCCAGGAGCACTGCAGCACAGCAAATGAGATGCCCCTCTCCCTATACAGTGAGAGCCAGGAGGAAAAAAGGGACGGGGCCATTACACGAGCCTTCATCACTTTGATGCCAGAAGTGAAGATGTGCTCACACCCTGCTTGTCTCTGGTTGGCCTGCCTCTGCTTCCCTTCCTTGGTCCCTTCATCCTCTTCTTCTTGTGGCTCCCATCCTGGGTGTGGGACCAATGATGAACCCTTACCTGTAGGGTTTGGGAAATGGGGCTCATCCCCTCTCAGCTCCTTGCTGCTGCTTTCCTGCATGCAAAGCAAGAGATCCTGGAGCTGCAGCTTCCAGCAGCTGGGAGCAATAAGCCAGGCTGTTCCTGGGGCTCAGCAGGGAGCAGCAGAGAAGCACAGAGCTTCTGGGTGCTCCCCAAGAGGAGGGGCTGCCTCTGCCTTTTCCTGCCCGGGACTGCGTTGGTGGGTGATGCAGCAGCTGAAGGCAACAGCTTGTGTTGTGCTCTGTTTGCTCACACCTCACAGCTCCCCGTTGGCAAAGAGCAAATCTCATGCTGAGGAAGCAGCACCACAACAGCATCTGAGCACCCCCGAAGTCATTTTGACTTTTCTCAATGGGATATCACTCTGCCTTTTGCACGACCCGTCACTTAAGCACCAGTGCACAGTGCATGTCCTAGCACTGTCTATGTCAGCATGATGTCTTGGTGCACAGTGTTGCTGCATGGTGCTGAGCTTGTGTTGGTACACAGAGCAGGGTGTGGGCTGCTATGTGGCACAATCAGACAGTGGTGCTGCAGGTGTGCAGTGTGCTGGTGCACAGTGCCAGTCCTGGTGTATTGTGCATGGTTCTAGTCCTGAGTACTGACCTATGGTGCATGGTGCATGATATCATAGAATCACAGAATGGCCTGAGTTGAAAAGGAGCACAATGCTCATCCAGTTCCAACCCCCTGCTGTGTGCAGGTCACCAACCAGCAGCCCAGGCTGCCCAGAGCCACATCCAGCCTGGCCTTGAATGCCTGCAGGGATGAGGCATCCACAGCCTCCTTGGGCAACCTGTGCCAGTGCCTCACCACCCTCTGGGGGAAAATATCTTGCTGCCAGTCCTGGTGCATGGCACTCAGTGCTGGTGCCAGTCCCAGAGCATGGAAATAGTGAACACTGCATGGTGCCAGGTCCATTGCATGATGCACTGTGCATGATGCTCAGTAGCAGTGCCATTCATGCTACCATTTTGGTTGCATGGTTCCAGTCTCTATCCCAGTGAACGGTGCACAGTGCTCAGAACCAGTCCAGTTGCCAGTCCCATTGTCAGTCTGAATGCCATCTCAGTGCACGGTGCACAGTGCACAGCACTGGTCCTGGTCTTGGTGTCAGTCTTGGTGCGCGGTGCGTGGCGCACAGTGCACAATGAGTCCCACTGTCAGTCTGGATGCCAGGCCCAGTGCACGACACACAGTGCACAGTGCCAACCCCAGGGCTGGTCCCACTCGTGGTACCCGTGCAAGATCCCACTCTCGATCCCGGTGTTCCGTGTATTTTGCACAGCGCAGTGCCAGTTCCAGGCTCACAGTGCGTGCTGCATAATGCACACCGCGTGTCCCAGAGGCAGTCTGGATGCCGGTCCCAATGCACCGTGCAAAACGCATAGTGCCAGTCCCGGTCCAAAGCGCGTGGCGCGGTGCGCACGATGCACACCGCAAGGCACGGATCCCGTTCCCAGTCCTGGTGCGGGTCCCGGTCCGGGTCCCGGTGCCGGTGCCGGCTCGGGGCGGTGGTGCTGAAGGACAGCTCCGCCCCCGCCCGCCCCCGCCGCCGCCGCCGCCGCCCTCCGCTCTCCTCTACCGCCGCCGCCGCCGCCGCCGCCGCCGCCCGGAGCCGGGCCCTCCGCGGAGCCCCGGCCGCCGCCATGCCCCAGACGGCCCCTCCGCCGCCTCCTTCCTCCGCCGCCGCACCATGAAGCGGCAGAACGTGCGGACGTTGGCGCTCATCATGTGCACCTTCACCTACCTGCTGGTGGGAGCCGCCGTCTTCGACGCGCTCGAATCCGAAGAGGAAACGGCGGAGCGGCGGCGGCTGGAGGCGAAGAGCCAGGAGCTGAAGAACAAATACAACCTGAGCGCCGAGAGCTACCGCGAGCTAGAGTGGGTCGTCCTCAAGCTGAAGCCGCACAAGGCCGGCGTCCAGTGGAAATTCGCCGGCTCTTTCTACTTCGCCATCACCGTCATCACGACCATAGGTACCGGGCAAACCCTAGACCTCAGCCCCAACACCCCGCCGAAAAAGCTCCGGGGATCCCCGTGTGAATAGTCCTTGCTTTGCCCATCCCTGCGGTGTCGGGGCGAACGATTCTGCCCAGCTGTTGCCGACGTTGGGACCCCTCCACCCATCCCCACGGTGTCAGGGCAAACCTCTCCCCTTGACCCCTCGGGATCCCCTTCCCCATAACGCCCATCCCTGCAGCGTCAAGGCTCACCCACCCAAAACTCCACCATCGGGAACCCCTCCTCTCCCGGCCCCCTCCGCCCATCCCTGTGGCATCGGGGCGGCCCCCTCCACTCTCTCCACCGGCTCGTCCCAAATGTGTCCATCCTGGTAGAGTCAGGGCTGTGCCTCCCTGGGATCCAACCTCTGCCCATCCCCGTGGTCTCTGGTCTCCCAGCCTCAGGGATTCTTCACCCCCTCTCCCACCCTACAGCACCACGGTGTCTGGGGAAGGGGGGGGGGCGAGGGGGGCTGAGCTTTTCCTTTGGGCAGGACCCCCTTTCTTCAGGAGTCGGTGTGGGTAGGGAGGGGACATGAGGGTCCCATTGTAGGACAGATTTGGGGGGACTGTGTGAGGGGACTCATCCCTACACACCGTGTCCCATCTCCAGCCCTGCAGCTGAGAGCTAGGGGACACAGGGTGCTTCCCCTCCAGGGGCAGTATTCTCTCAGCTCACTCCTTCCCTGAAGGAGAAGTAGGATAAGGGGGAAGGTTTTCTGGGGAGAGGATTCCTTTGCAGATCCTTCCCATTCAAAAGCACAGTGGGACCCTCAGTCGGGGTGTCCTGACCCCGCTGGGAGGGAGGGGGGAGTGTTGGGTAGTGCACAGTGCCCCAGTGCTCAAGGCAATGTCCCTGCCCTATCCTGATCCAATCTGAGCCATCTCATGCTACCAGAAACCAAAAGTCCCCAGGGAAAGCCAGCTCTGTCCCCAGGGTGAGGAGAGGGGATGCAGGAGTCAGAGAGATATCGGAGTCACCCCAGGTTGCCACTGTATTCATTCTGTGTTGTGGTGCACTCACCTGGTTACGCTTTCACCCCAAATATCTTCGGGGCACTTTCAACCAATGTTCCCTGTCCAGGATCCCCACAGTGTCCCCACCACCACTGTGCCCTGCATAGGGACACCCACAGCTTGGTGGCTGCATCCTCCCTCCACAGCAAGGAGCAAACACCACTGAGTTTGGCTCTGTGCAAGGATGCATGACCCCAAATCTTCTGATCTGTTGTCCTCTGATCCCCAAAATGCCTCATATTCCCCAGTCCCTCGCTGGCCGCCTGTGACTTGTGGGTCACAGGCAGGTCCTTGTGGGGGGAACCAGAGCTGTATGGCTGAGATGTGGGTTTTGGAGCTGGGGCTGAGCTCTATCAGCTGGCAGAGCAGCTGGGACAGGCTTGGGAAGCAGAGACAAGCAGCTTATCTTTGACGTGAGAGAGGGGGGGGGCAGAAGGAGGGGGTGCCGGGGAGCAGGAGGAACATCCCCAGCCTCAACACACACAAAGGATGCTGCAGTGCCGTGGATGTGAGACAAAGCCAACCCAGAGTGCACAGTCCCATTTTGCTCCTCTTCTGTGCCCCCCAAGGCCGTCAGGTCCTCTGCAGTCTCCTCCGGGTGCCCACAGATGGAGCAGGGAGATGTAGGTGTCACACCCCAGATGGGAGGGGGTGCTCCTGGTGACACCCAACCCCAAAGCCACCCATTTGAAGCGCAAAGGAAATGCAGAGAGGATTTCCCTGGAGTGTGTGTAATTCAGCCCCGCTCTGCAATGTCCACGGCCATGTGCTGGGGAAGCTGCACGGACACGGATGTGTAACTCAATCCTGTTGTTATCAATCTGTCAGTGTCTATTTCTATGAAATGGGATTTTCCAGCAAGGAAAAAAAAAAAAAGAAAAAAGAAAAGCAAAGAAAGCCTTCTTTCAGGAACTCAAAGGTCTCTCTGCTTGCACTAAGAAGTGCCATGCATGATCTGCTCGGAGCAGGTGACAAGGGGACATCTCTGCTCACTGCCCACTGGCTTTGCTCTACCAGGGACACAGTGCCCGTTTCCCAGGGCTGTGGCTGTCCCCTGTCACATCCCATTGCCATCTCCCTTAGGATGATGGCCTTGGGGACAGACTGCAGGGGCCACTCGGGGGGCACTGTGCAGGTCTCCGGGTTGGCACAGGGTGACTTTGCTGGGAGCATCGCAGCTGGCTTGGGGCGTTGTGTGGGATGGATCCTGCAGCATTGGGGACAGATCCTGCAGATCTTTTGGTGTGACCTTACACATGGGCTCTGGGTCCATTTGGAGTAGGGGTGCCCTGAGCTGGATACCATGGCAGATCCGTGTGGTGACAGTAGGGTCAGTGGGGCAGGATGTGTCAATCAGGGTGGTGACACACATAGGGACAGCACCGGTGGCAGCTGGATACATGCAGGGGGATGAGGCTTATGGCTGCAGACTGGGATCTGTTATATTTAGATGTGCCCCCTCCTCTTCCACAAGGCCAGGGGCAAGGGGAGCTGCAGGACATGTCCCTGACACCTCCATCCCTGTCCCTGCAGCAAGGATGGGTCAGCTGTGCCACATGGCACAGTGGTGGGATGAGGATCTGCAGGCTGTCCCCCTCCATGCACCTCAGCTCATGAAACCCAAACCCTGCGTTGGGTGCTCCCAGATGTGCCATGGGGCTGTGAGGCTGGGGACAGTGCTATCCCTGCAGGGATGGAGCCATCCCGTGTCCCTCACGTGTGCTCAGCCATTTGGTCTGCGGCAAGTGGCGAATGCCAACCTCACTGCCACCATCTGCCACCTCCCTCCTGGGACAGAGTTGTGGCAGCAGCAGATGACACCATGGGGTGTTTGTGAAGCACCATGACTCTCCTCTGTGGCTGTCAACACATCCCCTCCATCCCTCCTGGGTGCCCCCCAAGCCCCACGCCCCGTGCATCCTCCTTCCCCCCCCCCAAAGGCCCCCGCTGCCCTGCAGCACCTCCTCCTGCTGCGCTGGCAGGTCCAGCCCTGACTCAGAGCCAGGATGAACAACGCGCTCCCCGCCGGCTGCCCTGCTGCTATTTTCATCTCTGATTCAGTCCCGCTCCTGAGGCTCTAAGGAAGGGACATGGCAGGGAGGGGGCAGCTGGAGGGGACGGCCACGAGCAAGAGGAGGAAAGGGGCTGTAATCTGGTGGCTTTAAGGGACACAGTGTGCTCACAGTGATACAAACATGTCCAGGATGAGGGCAGATTTCATGGAAAGGGATGGGGATGGGGGAAGGTTTTGTGGAAAGGGATGGGGATGGGGGAAAGCTGGGGATGGATCACATCTCCCTCTGAGCCCTCAGGACATTTCTGTTCTGCACTCTCTGTGCCCGCTGACAACGATCACAGTGGAAATGAGTGTTGGCAGCTCCGGGATCTCCTTTAGTAGGCTTCAGAGTGAACGCACTGGAGGGAATGACTGTATCACAATGTTTCAGGGCTGGGATTCAATTCTTCTCACCCCAGATACCTGCAAGAGGGGGTACCCGATGCACAACTCTATGCCAATTGCAGGCAAAGGGCCAACCCTTGCTCCCGCTGCCCTGGTTCTCTGTGGTTGCTGTTTGTTGTGTTTACTCTGAAGCCTAATGATGGCACAGTCATTATGCACACTCCAAGCCCGGCCCAGAGACCCTCTGAGCTCTGTTTGCTGCTGCCCCCACCTTCCATCCTGCCCAGGCTATAAATGTTCTGCTCGTCTCTGTCCCAGAGAGATAAGAGCAATTAATGCCCGCTCCTTCCCAGCTGATGCCTCATTAAACCCTCCGGCAAACGACTGACTCAGACAAGCACAAACAACCCGTGCTGGGGCAGCAAGGCTGCGGGGTGGGGGCCAGTGCCCCACACCCACCCCCATTTCTGTCTGTCCTGTTGGCTTTCCTATCACCAAACCCTGGCACTCAGCTGGGACTGGGTCCAGTGCTGTGAAGCCAGACCCATGGAGGAGCTGCAGGAGAGCCCGCTCTGACCCAGCACGTGATTTACAACCTGGCTGTGATATTTATCACCCAGCTCTCAGGCTGAAGTGACTGCAGTACGCAGGATTTATAGCAGGCATCGCTACCTTGAATAAATCCCAGCCGGACAGGCAGGGGGGTTAATGGAACAAGTGAGACACACGGCTGTGTTGGGGCTGGAGCTCACTAGTCTGCCTTTGGGGAGAGCTGCCGTGGGGCAGAGAGGCTGTGCTGGTGCTGCAAGCAGTGCCAAGTGCAGGGGCACCTTGCTGGGTGTTGGTGCACAGCATTGCACTGGTGCTGGGTGCTGGTGTTCAGCATAGGCTGCTGGTGCGTGGCATTGCTTATGGTGCATGGGGTAAGGGTGCTAGGGGCTGGTGCATGGTATTGCACACAGTTCTGGATGATGATCATGATGCCAGGGCACAGTACTGGGTGTTAGAGTGTGACACTGCACATGCTGCTGGGCACAGGGCTGAATGCTGGTGCATGGCATTGCACATGGTGCTGGGTACCGGGGCACAGTACTGGGGGCTAGTGCAAGGTGCTGAGGGCTGGTGCATGGCATTGCACATAGTGCATGGCGTTGCTTATGGTGCTGGGCACTGCAGCACAGGGCTGAGTGTTGGTGCACGGCATTGCACATGGTGCTGGTGTTGAGCACAAGGTGCTGGGTGCAGGGTGTCATGGCGCTGGGCACTGGTGCTCTGTACCAGGTGTTGGTGCATGATACTGGCTGTTGATTCATGGCACAGGATGCAGGGTGAACAGCACTGCACATGATGCTGGTGGCTGCAATTGGATGCATGGTGCATGGTGCTGGGCCATAGTGCGTGGTATTTGAGAGGATAAGGACACACAGTGCAGCTCTCCACAGGTGTGTCAGCCAAGAGGAGATGGCAGGTGGCTCTCCAGGCTGCAATCCCCTTTATTTCCACCCCCACAGAGTCTCCTTTGCCACTGTGGAAACGGGATGTGGTGTGCATGGGAATGAGCTCAGAACTCCCCCTCCCCCCCAGCAGACTCTGTGCCCCACCAGCATCCGGACCCACTGCTGGGGGTCCCGACTGTGCCCCAGATAGGAGAAGGGGGGGAGGATCTGTAGGGCTGGGGAGAGAGGGAGCCAGGAAGGGGCCTGGCGGGGCCCCAAAGAGCAGCAAAATATTGCCAGTTTCGGGTCGGCGCAAACACAGCCCTTGGCTGGCGCGGGGATTTTCCATGACAGCATCAGCCCCCGCTGCCCCCGCTGTGGCGGGGCCCCACTGCTGCTGCTGGGGCTGTCCCAGGCAGGATAGTGGCTGTGCCCCCTCTCTTAAGCACTGCTGGGATAGATGGGGTGCAGAACTCCCTTACGGGGGCCTCTAAGTTTCTCTGGGGGCAACACCCCCCAGTGCAGCACAGGAGAGATTTGGGGAGAGGGGCGTAACAGTGCTGGGGGTAATGCTGCAGAACTTGCTGAAGAGGATGGGGGTACCCCAGTGTCTGGTGTGAGCACAGGGGAAGCCCAGGGCATGGGACAGTATGGGGTAACCCCACGTCTATTTCATCTGCCCCACTGGTATGAGAGCACATGAGCCCCCCACCAGGCTCAGCACCCTCTGCCCAGTAGGTCCTCCCCATGCCAAGGCAGCCCTCAGGGAACTGAGTGCTGAGTTTGCTCCACCAGGTGAGTGCATGGAGATCAAGGGGAAGATGGAGAGATGGGTGGTAAGAGAGGTGAGCGGAGATAGGCGAGGTCTGGGGTGGTTTGGTTTGGTGGGTGGAGAATGGGTGGTTGGATGGATGGATGGATGGATGGGTTGTTGGATGAGTAGATGGAAGGTTGAGTGGATGGGTGGAAAGATGGGTGGGTTGGTGAATGAGTGGATGGAAGGTTGAGTGGATAAATGGATGCATGGATGGATGGAGAAAAGATGAGCGGATGGGTGGATGGATGGATGGATGGATGGATGGATGGATGGATGGATGGATGGATGAGTAATAAATGGTTGCATGGGTGGGTGGATGGTGATATGTGGGGATATCTGCACCTTTCACCTGCCCTAATGAAGTCACAGTGAGGACTGCCCCTGCTTCAGGCTTAGCATCCAGCTGGGATGGGGCAGTGCGGGTACCAGAGCTTGCCCAGCTTTGCATTACCCAAATTCACCTCAGCTCTGAGGTGCTGCTGCCCAAATCTGGTCTCTGTCCTGAAGCTGCCACTTACCAGGCCCTGCCTGAGAGGTGCCCCCAGGTGGGACATGCCCTTTCCTACAGCCCTCATCCCTGTGCTCCATGAAACCCCACTCTGGAAAGGACAGAGCATGTAACCCCATGCAGGGCTTTGTGGGGTGCAGTGACATTGGTGCAAGAGTGGTGCAGGCAGCAGTGCAAGCAGCACTGTGCCCCTACACTGGGCTCTCCCATGCCCATGTTTGCTCAGAGCAGGCAGGTGCTGCTGCCATGTGCTGTCTTTCCCAGCCGTTCTCTGCCTGCTTGTTTGCTTGCTCTGCAAGCACATTTCCTGAGCAGATCCGAAAGACACCCCACACTCTGCCCAAGCTTTCGCAAAAATCAGAGGGTATCTGGAGCATGGCAGAGCTCACATGCCACTAAAGCAAACCAAGGACACCCTGCCCTGCTGCCCCCAGCCTAGCAGGAGTGCATCAGGTATCCCCAGCCCCAGCTGACCCTAGTGGCTGCTGCTGAACCTCCCTTAGCCCAAGGAGAAAACCAAGCTTGAAAGGAGCAGAGCTGTGTCCCCATGAGATCTGAATGTTGGAGATCCCTCACGTGGTCAGGGGTCTGGTGGGTTCCCCATCACTTCATTGCTCAGTAAGAACAATGGCACTTCCCAGGCAGCACCTGCTGCAGCCAGAACTGCTCTGGGAGAGGAAGCAGAAAACCATCCCCAGACCTACCTGACGGACACAGGGATAAGTGCATGCACTCAGGAACCCACCCCATGCCAACTGTGGGCCCCAGGAGAAACCCCATTGTGTCCTGCCTTCTCCATACCCCTCACATCTTGCCCCAGCTCAAGCTTCTCTTGTCACTTGGGACTCCCTATGCCGTGCTCTGGGAATGTTGCAGAATCCTTGTACCCTGCATCCTCCTCTCCTTAATCCCTACATCCCTACTCCTGCCCTGGCTCCCTGCAATCCTATGCCCTGCCCACCTGCACCTTCCTGGACATGACCTTCAGCCCCCTCCCATGCCCCCCAGCACCCAACACCACCTCCCCCTCCTTGCCCCACCAGCCCCTCACATCCCCAAGCCTCACATCACCCCATTTATTTTCCACCCTCCTCCCAAGCCCCAGTGCCAACTGCTTTCTAATCCCCTCCATCCATTGCTCCCAACAGCCCCCGGGATCTGCTCCAGGCTGGGGCCAAGCAAACCCTGCACCTGCTCCCTGCAGCCTCAGCCAGATCCACCCCTGCTCCTCGGCAGCCCTAAAAAGGCGAAGAGCGGTCGGCGTTCCTCTGGGACATGTCATGTTTTCTCCTAGGGGACACACGCTGTGCTCCCTGTCCACTTGCAGCACCCCAACCTGCTGGGACCTGGATCCTTCCAGGACCCGTTGAGGAAATTTGGGAGCTGCAGGAGGGATGAAGGAGAGGAGTAGAGATGCTCATTTTGCAAAGGGTGGGGAGAGCAAGGAGAAGGCTTTGGGGTCTCCAATGCGAAGCCCCAGTGCGGCTCAGTCAGCATCTCCTGTTCTTTTCTTTCCCATGATGGATGGGTGCAAGAGAGGCTTGGGGGGCTCAGTTCCTCAGGACCTCTCTCCCTGCCAGTTGCCTTTTCCTCAGCCATGCATGGGGGATTTAATATCTCACGACCTTCATCCTGGCCATAAACGTGATGGAGATCAGGCAGCATGTGCTGACACTGGGGGGGGGGGAGGGAGGAGGGAGCTGGCGGATTGATGGACACTTGGCCACACTGCCAGAGCTCATAAACTCCCTTCCCAATGGAGAAATGGGGCTAAATATAGCCCTGAGAGGCTGCACCTCGGGCAGGAGGTGCAGGAGGGAGAGTGCTCAGTGAGGCTGTCAGCACGGATGGAGGCTGGGATCCTAAAATCCCAACCTCAGCTGGATGGATGCTCAAAGAATAAGGGAGGTTTGGGCTGTTTGGAGGTAGGGGTGGAGATATCCGGGGGATCACCACACTGAGCCCTCCACAGTGCCCGTGCAGGCACAGCACTGATGCTTGGGGTTTGCCAAAGCCCTCCCCACAGCCCAGCTCTGGGGAAAGCTTGGCCTGAGATCTGACGAGCCGTGATTTCGCCTCACCCCAGCAAGGCTTAATCCTTGGCCTCGAGGAAGCTGCCAGCAAAGGGTGGCGGGGAGAGAGGCCACCTGCCTCGGTCCAGTGAGTGGGGATTAAGCAGAGCTGGGGCAGGGCGGGATTCCCACACTGGATCAAAGCATTGGAAAAGTGTTCAGGCTGATTCGGGTTAGAGGAAAGAGCAGTGGAAATCTCCCCACCTCACTTTGCTTTTCAGGGCTCTCTGGTGGGCAGCGCTGGGAGCTTGGAGGAGCGAAGCTTTTTTGCAGGGCGAATTTGCACCAAAGCCTTGGGCTTTTCCCAAAAGCATCCTCAGATTGAGCTCAAAGCATCCCCTGCCTTTGCCCCTTGATAACCGTGCCATGTCAAAATGTTTTCCACACATAGGTGAACACTGCTTAATCTGTTATGACAAATGTAGTTTTGGACATACTCAATAATTGAGGAGTGCAGTGCTGTAAATATAACACTAGGTGTGATGGGCAGGGGAAAGGGAAAGGGAAAGGGAAAGGGAAAGGGAAAGGGAAAGGGAAAGGGAAAGGGAAAGGGAAAGGGAAAGGGAAAGGGAAAGGGAAAGGGAAAGGGAAAGGGAAAGGGAAAGGGAAGGGGAAAATTAAGAAGGGGAAGAGGAGAAGACAGAAGGGAGAAGAGGAATGAAGGGGAGGAGAGGGGTGGAGGTGGGAGGGAAGGGAAGGGAAGGGAAGGGAAGGGAAGGGAAGGGAAGGGAAGGGAAGGGAAGGGAAGGGAAGGGAAGGGAAGGGAAGGGAAGGGAAGGGAAGGGAAGGGAAGGGAAGGGAAGGGAAGGGAAGGGAAGGGAAGGGAAGGGAAGGGAAGGGAAGGGAAGGGAAGGGAAGGGAAGGGAAGGGAAGGGAAGGGAAGGGAAGGGAAGGGAAGGGAAGGGAAGGGAAGGGAAGGGAAGGGAAGGGAAGGGAAGGGAAATAAAAAGACAGGGAAAAGCAAATGGTGGCTGCCTGGTGGCAAGGGCTCTTCCTGGCAGCACACAGCCCCCGGGCATGGCAGCTGGGCAGGCATCCCCACACTCCACATGCTCAGCTGCCTGGATCTGGGATCCATTACAAGCAAATAATCTGCCACCACAGGGAGAGAATAAGTCCCATTTGCATGTGTTTTGCGCAGGCAGGAGATTAATTGAAGTCCAGATGCTCCCTGCAGGGCTATATGCGTGGATGCAGGGTCCCCTAGCTTCTGGATGGAATTCAGTTGAATGCAGGGACACAGGAACATGGGAAAACAAAGAGGCAGAGATGCAGGGATGCAGGGATGCTGTAACAGAGGAGAACAATCCACTCTCTTGATTTCTTAAAAATCTCTTTTCTCCCCTTCTCCTTTGCTGCCCCACCTGGCCATTCTGAGACTGTCCTGGGAGGTGCATTTGAGGACAGCTCAACAGCCCCTTAGTGATATCATACATAGTGGCCAAATCCCCCAAACAAGGGGACCATGCAACCCCATCCAGGGCCCATCCCAGATGTCCCAGCTTCAGGACAGATGGCCAAGGAAGGGGCACCAGTTGCACGGTGACAGTGCCAACCTCTCTTTGTCTTCACTCCCCAGGGTACGGCCATGCGGCCCCGAGCACGGACGGTGGGAAGGTTTTCTGCATGGTGTACGCCTTGCTGGGCATCCCGCTCACCCTCGTCATGTTCCAGAGCCTGGGCGAGAGGATCAACACCTTCGTCAGGTACCTCCTGCACCGCATCAAGAAGTGCCTGGGCATGAGGCGGGCGGAGGTCTCCATGGCCAACATGGTCACCATCGGGTTCTTCTCCTGCATCAGCACCCTGTGCATCGGGGCGGCCGCGTTCTCCTACTACGAGCACTGGAGCTTCTTCCACGCCTATTATTACTGCTTCATCACGCTCACCACCATCGGCTTCGGGGACTACGTGGCCCTGCAGAAGGACGAGGCCCTGCAGAACAATCCTCAGTACGTGGCTTTCAGCTTCGTCTACATCCTGACGGGGCTGACGGTCATCGGGGCTTTCCTCAACCTGGTGGTGTTGCGTTTCATGACCATGAACGCCGAGGATGAGAAGCGGGACGCTGAGCACCGGGCGCTGCTCACCCGCAATGGGCAGGCGAGCAGCGTGCACACCACGGACACGGCTTCGTCCGCACCCACGGCCGTGGCAGCAGGGGGTGGCGGAGGTGGCCTCCGTAATGTCTACGCGGAGGTGCTGCACTTCCAGTCCATGTGCTCGTGCCTGTGGTACAAGAGCAGGGAGAAGCTGCAGTATTCCATCCCCATGATCATCCCCAGGGACCTGTCCACCTCGGACACCTGTGTGGAGCAGAGCCACTCCTCGCCAGGACGCTGTCCTGAGACCCCTTCCAACCGATGCTTCTGCAACGCCCGCCGGTCGGCCATCAGCTCCGTCTCCACTGGCCTCCACAGTCTCTCGGCTTTCCAGGGCCTCATGAAGCGCCGCAGCTCTGTGTAGACCTCGCTCCGTCACCCCCCATGTGTGCCCCAAGCTTCATGAAGCTCCGTGTAGACCTCACTCCATCATCCCCAACTGTGCCCCAGTTTTCACAAAGCTCCGTGTAGTCCTCTGCCCATCACCTCTCACCGTCCTCAGGCTCACAAAGCTTCACGCAGACCCCATTCCACCACCTCCAAAGGTCCCATGAATCTCCATGCAGACCTCACTCCACCGCTCCCATGCACTCCAGGCCTCATGAAGCTCCACGTATCGTAGAATCACAGAATCATTCAGGTTGGAAAAGACCTCCAAGATCACCAAGTTCAACTGCCACCCATCCCATCCATGCTCACTAACCGTATCTCTGAGCACCACATCTCCACATTTCTTGGGCACCTCCAGGGATGGTGATCCCACCATCTCCCCATACAGCCTGTGCCAGCACCTGACCACTTTTGGGGAGAAGAAATTATTCCTAATATCCAACCTGAAGTAGTGTAGACCCTACTCCATCACTCCTGTGCACCCCAGGCCTCACTGAGCCCCACGTAGACTTACTCCATCACCTCCCATGGACCTCAAGCCCCACAAAGCTCAGCGTAGCCCCGCTCCATCATCCCCCATGTGTGACCCAGACTTCATGAAGCTTCATGTAGGCCATGTTCCATCACCCCCATGCACCCCACACTTCACAAATCTCCATGTAGATCCCACTCTGTTACCCTCTGTGTACCATGGACACTTTGGCCAAGATCTCATCTTGGTCACAACATGAGGAACTTCCTCATGTCCCAGGATGTCTGGGATCTGATGCAGTGGGGCTGCAGCCTCCAAGTGGGCTGTAACCTCAGGATGTTAGGACAGATGCAGGATCCTGGGGAATCAGGATGGCTTCAGGAGCCCTTGGTCCTGTCCAAGTCTTCGCCAATTGTGACGGGAGAAAGAAGCAGGGGCCACCAGTTTATTTTATTTTAATTTAATTTTATTTCATTTCATTTTATTTTGCAAACCACTCCTCAAAATGTGAAACTTGAAGTCCTGGAGAGTGTGTTAACCTGATGGAAAGCTATTGGGGGGAACAAGCATGGGGACAGCTCAGATACACACACACACATTTCTGCCTGGGCTGCCGGGGAGCCCAAAGACCCCCACTCTCACCCTCTTGTCCAAGTGTGCAAGGCATGAGCGGGGTGTGTGTGGGCACCGTGGGCTCCATGAGGCAGGGAGGAGCCAGACTGCTGTGGTGTGCACACAACAAATAGGCTAAGAGGGGCTTAGATGGAGATTTTACAGCCCCTTGTTAGGGGGAGATACCAGGAGTCGTGTAGCTGAAAATGTCACCCGTGACCAAGAAGTTCAGTGTTCTATCCAGAAACGGTGGTGCCCAGGGTGCCCTCAGTATCCTGACCCCCCATCCCCTTTCACAGCTCTGAGGCTGGAGCTGTCACCTTATGCAAAGAATTTGGGAAGGAGACAGCCTAAGGTATGGGGAAGGCTTTCACCTTCTTCTTCACTCCATCTGAGCTGCACCTCCAAGCCTGTGCCCCACGGCACCCCATGGCACCCCATGGCACCCAGCACCATGAGCCCAGCTTGTGGGATGCCCCCATTCCCCCTGCCCTATGGTTCACAGTTTCCATTGCCCCTCGTCCTCCAGCAATGAAAGCACAGGTCACTGGGGACAGGGGGAAATCAGGACAGCAGGACCTCACTTTGACTCCCCTCAAAACCCCATCAGGGGCCACCAGGACTTGGGGGACAACCCAGCGTGCCTGTCCCCAGCGAGGCATTTCTTTTCTCAACTTTTAACAGAAGAAAAACTATGTATTTCTAATACTTGATGATGTGTACATACTGTTAGATACCAGAGAGGATATTTATTATAAATGATGCTATAATCGTATCTATAGAAATCTATAAATATCTATTGTAAGGGAGTCTTGTGGGAACCTTGCTGATGACTCCAGGGAACTTCTTTTTGCTCTCTGCATCCGTCTCATCCTTAGGACACCGACGGGGAACAGAATCCCCCCAATGAGGTTACTCAGTTTCTCATGCCAAAGTATATTTGTACTGCTGATTGACTTTCAATATAGAGAGAAATAAAGGTTGATTGGAATCTCGGCACCACTTGGGGCACCTCGCTCCGAGCCTCTGAGTGGGTTCTTGTGCTGATGGCTATGAGGACATCTCAAGGCCAGGGTCACCTGAGTCCCTATGGGCCATCAGCAGAGCCCAGGGCTTCTCTCCTGCCTTTAAGTGGATCAAACAGGCTTCATTCAAACCCAGCACCTAATCTAATCATGTTAAGCCTGCAAAGAGCAGATCTAGCTTGCAGCAGCTGATGGGGATGTGGCTTTTCCATCGGCACCTTTCACCCTACCCAGAACTGGTAAGGCTGTACCTGAATGCTGAGACCAGTGCTGGCCCCCTCCAGTGCCAGAAGGATGTGGGCACATGGGGAGAGCCCAGCACAGGGCCTGGAGCTCTGCTGGGAAGGGAGCTGAAAGAGCTGGGGCTGCTCAACCTGGAGCGGGGGAGGCTCAGGGGGATCCCATCCACGGCCATAAATCCCTGCCCCTGGTTACTCCCTCCTCACATCTGCCATCCTCCTCAGGACGAGTGATTTTTTTTTTCCACCTCTCAGATTATTTATATTTCCGTGTCATTCATAGCCCAAATATTTACAGTGCACTGGAGAGACTTAAAATTCCTGGCTGGTATTAAGCAGCATGGCCTTTTCCTCTGGGTATCCTGCAAAGAGGAGGAGAGAGGGATGGACGTGGCTAAGCTGTGCCATGTACACATGATGCTGGGGATGATGGCCACCAAAGGGGACACTGAGGTGACTCAGGGGGGCTTCAGGGGCTGGAGGAACCCTTGGGTTCAGGCAGAGAGCAGCAAAGGTGGCTGTCCCCAGGGGCTTCAGGTGAAACCCTTTCCATTCTGGTGTCTCCACAGTTGGCATCTCCATGGTTGGCATCTCTATGGTTGTAATCTCCTTGGTCGACATCTCCCTGATTGGCATCTCCATGGTCAGCATCTCCTTGTGGCTTTATCTCTCCATGGTTGATATCTCCACAGTTGGCATCTTCATGGCTGACGTTTCCATGATTGACTTCTCTCCTTGGTTGATATCCCTTGTGGTTGACATCCCCACAGTTGGTATCTCTCCATGGCTGGCATCTCTCCATGGCTGACATCCCTGTGGTTGACATCTCTCCATGGTTGGCATCGTCATGGTTGATGTCTCTACAGCTGGAATCTTCTTGGTTGGCAATTCCATAGCTGACATCTCCTTGGTTGCTAACTTCATGGTGGATATCCCCATGGCTGACAACTCTCCACAGTTGGCATCTTCGTGGTCGACATCTCCATGGTTGACGTCTCCTTGCTTGATATCTCCATAGCAGAAATCTCCATGGTTGACACCCCTGTGCCCTCTGCATACTGATATCACCTGGCTGGATGTCTCTCCCTTCCCAGCACTCTTTCTGCTCCCTGCCTGCCTGGAGTCCCAGAGTGGGATGCCCCCCATTCACCCCCTGTCCCTCATCCAGCATTGGGGCCACATGGATGAGAGCAGGATGGAGGCACATGGCAGTGTCTGTGCCACCTCCATTCCCATCCCCGCAATGCTGGAGGGCAAAGTGCGTGTTTGAAGTTGTGGAAAACAAAGCAGAGCAAACAAGGACGGATGGAAAATCTCCGGCTGGCGGTGCCATCCCCTGCCCATCCCCATCCTCCTGTCCGTCAGGCAGGAAATCAGATTAGGGTTTGAAATGAGCAGAGTGTGCTCTTAATGAAGGGACCAACATCACATCCTTATTAATTACAGCAGGGCCTTGCTTGGTGACAGACAGCCCCAGTATAGAATCATAGAATCATAGAATCACCAAGGTTGGAAAAGACCTAAAAGATCACCCAGTCCAACCGTTCACCTATTCCCAACAGCTCCTACTAAACCAGTATGAAAGTGCAGATCTGCATGACTACGCACGAGCGTGCACAGGCGTGCAAATAAGTCACAAATACAGGGATCAACCCCATGCCAGCAGCCTTCAGAGTGCCCCAGTGTGCTGGGCATCCTCACTGCCCCATTCCCCTGCCCCCAGGGATGTAGTCTTTCCCCAGGTGTTCTCTCTATGGATGCCAGCCCCATACCCCAGTGTGCACACGTGTGTACAATGTCTTGTGTGCACTGCACGTGTGTGCATGCATGTGCAATGCATGCCCCATCCTCTGCAGTGACGTTTTCCATGGGCAAAGGCAGAGGGGAGGGCTGGGGGCTGTTTGCCTTCATGTCTGCCATGAGCAACGATGAGAAATGGCTGTGAGTGAGGTGCCACAAAAAAAAAGGAGAACGCAGCAGGGCAGGTGGGTGGAGGCCCAGAGGTCTCACTCCGCCGTCCCTCCCCCTCTCTATTTCTGGAGGACCCCCCCTTGGGATGCTCCATCTCCACTGGATGCGATGCCCACGCGTGTTTCCTGCAGCTCCCAGCATAGGAAGGGTTAACACCACGTGGATTTCTCTTTCCTTTCCCCCTCTCTCCCCCCCCTCTTCCCCGCCCTCCGCTTCTTATCTCCCCCCATCCCATGGGGTCACGGCCCCCGGGGCTGACGTCGGATGGAAAAACAATTCGTCTCCGGCTGCCGGGGATGGGGGGGGGGGGGGGGGCGGGCGAGGGGCCTACGCGGGGCCGGGGGATACAGCGAGAGCTCGAGGGGTTGGTGGGGGTTGGGAGATGTTCCCCACCACGAGAGAGTGAGGGGTGGGGGGGGATGCGGCCCCGCTCGAGGTGGGGGCACGAGTGGGAGAGGCGGGGTGGCACCGATCCTGCAGCGCCATCTGGTGGCGCCTGCAGAGTGCGGGGACACGGGGACAGAGTGGGGGGATATGGGGAGGGGGGGATAAGGGGACGGGGGAGCACTACGGGGATACGGGGACATGGGGATATAGGACGGGAGCATAAGGGGACATGGGGACAAGGGAGCACCACGGCGGTACGGGGACATGGGGATATGGGGACTGGGGGACCCGGGGACTGGGGGACATTGGGACATGGAGACAAGGGGACACGGGGACAGAAGTAAAGGGGTCCACTTTGGGGTACGTGGGCAGGGGGCAATGGGGACATGGAGACAGCGGGACACCACGGAGGTACGGGGACAGAGGGGCGTGGGGACACGAGCATGGAGGCAGACGTTTCCTCCTCCCATGGGGGCGCCGCTGGGAGCGCACGACCCGCCTGCGGGCAGCGAGGGGCGTGGCCAAGTGCGGAGTGGGCGTGGCCACGCACAGAGGAGAGGGGAAGGGGAGTGGTTAGAGGGAGGGGGCGCGATCGAGGCCGCGTGAGAGCGTGGCCAATGGGAGAGAGAGGAGGTGGCTGGAGGGCGGGGCTAAGCGCCGGGGGGCGTGGCTAAAGTGAATGGAGGCGGGGCTTCGGCCGCCCCGGTGCAGGGCGGGAGGTGGCGGCGGCGGCGGCGGGAGCATGGCGTGGTCTCGGTACCAGCTGGGCCTGGCTGCCCTCATGCTGCTCACCGGCTCCATCAACACGCTGGCGGCCAAGTGAGTCCTCCCTGCCGCCCGGGCATTGAGGGGCTACCCCAGACCCAGTCCCGAGACCCCAGGCCCAAGGCCAGGCCCACGTCCCATATCCCAGGCCCAGATCCCAGACCCCATACCAGACTTCAGCCCCAGGCCCAGTCCCAGACCCCAGACTCAGACCCAGGCCCCAGTGTCCATCTAGGCCCGGGCTTCCTGCCTTCACCCCCGGCTGTTAGAGTATTTCCTCCAGCCCTCCCCAGTCCCTCGCTTTGTACCCCCAGCTGGGCAGAGCGCTGTGCGAGAGTCGCGGAGGGGAGGGGAGGGTGAAGCCTGGGCTGGGAGCTCTGCTGCTGCTGCTGAGGGAGGAAAGGGGAAATGTGGGGCTTGGGGATTGCTTGGCCCCTTTGCAGATGCTTGCATCCTGCAACCCGGCTTCTCTGCACCTGCTCTGTGCTGCAGCTCATCCTGAGCTGTATTGGGCTCTGGAGCACCTCCCATAAAAAGACAGGCTGAGGGAGCTGGGCTTGTTCAGTCTGGAAAAAAGAAGGCTGTGGGGTGACCTCATTGCAGCCTTCCAGTACCTAAAGGGTACAAACAGAAGGGGAGTCAACTCTTTGGAAGGGTAAATAACAGCAGGACAAGGGGAAATGGTTTGAAGTTGAAGGAAGGAAGATTTAAATTGGATGTCAGGGGAAGTTCTTTACAGAGAGAGTGGTGAGGTGCTGGAACAGCTGTGCAGAGAGGCTGTGATGCCCCGTCCATCCCTGGAGGTGTTCAAGACCAGGTTGGATGGGGCCCTGGGCAGCCTGGGCTGGTACAAAATGTGGAGGTTGGTGGCCCTGCGTGTGGCAGGGGGTTGGAGCTTCATGATCCTTGAGGTCCCTTCCAACCCTGACTGTTCTGTGATTCTGTGATTGAGTCCCCCCTAGGGAGCTCCAGCTGTGTGCAGGATGAAGTGGGTGCTGCTGAGAGCTGCCCAAGCAGGATGGACCCGCCTGTCCAGCTCAGCACAGCTCTGCAGGGATGACATTAAGTCTCTGCTTGGCCTTAGTCACAGCAAACCGTGTTCATAGGAGGGGAGACTGAGGCATGGTGTTAACACAGAGGGAGAAGATAGCAGTGAGCTGCCTGTCCAAGGCTCTTGCGAAACACACACGGAGGGGCTGCAGCGGTCAGAGGGGGATGAGTCATACTGAAATCTTGCTGGCCTGGCTGCAAAGCCCCTGGGGCCTTCCTGCTGCCTGTTCCCCTGAGCTCAGCAGCTCTGCGGCACACAGCAGAGCTGGGCACACGTCACCTGCTCATGGGGGCTGTGCTGGGGTGTTATGGGGACTCTGTTCTTGTGTGGTGTCACCAAGAGATTGGGGTACAGCCCTGCATAGGCTCTCTGAGATGTACCATGGGGACAGTGCCATTCTGTCCAGCATGGACGATATTTTGGCTTGGAAGATCTAAAAGAGGGGTGTTGTACTCTGTACCCCCAAACACTGTGGCTGAGTGGGAGCTGCTGCCTTCACAGCCTGCAATCCAGCCTCCTTTTGGGGCCATCTGGCCCATCGCCCCCAAAGTTGGTGACCTATGAGTAAAGGGAGGTTATCAGGATCACCCCCCACAGTCTGCTGTGCTCAGTGCATGGCTGGATCCTTCCTCTCCCAGAAATGGGAGCAGGGACAGTGGATTGCAGCGGTGCGTGACACAGCGATGGTGCATGACACAGCGGTGTCCATTTCCTCACCTGTCACTCAGGGCTGGGAGCAGGGCCAGCAGTGCAGTTTCTTCCCAGCATCTGGGAAACACAGGCGGTGCTGTACCCTGACCCCAGAGCTGTGACTCACACGCTGCTTTCCTCCAGATCAGGGGCTGCTTGTGGTTTTGTCACCAAGCATCACTGGGAACAGCAAGCTAGAGCCAGGAATGCCTTTGGTCACTCCCTGCTCTCTAGGTTGTCCCAGTGGCATCTGGCAAGTCCGACTCTACACTCACAACTCCAGAGGGCACAGCCAGTGCTGGATGTGCATTGGGTTACGCTCCATCTCCTGCCCTAACCCTGCTCCTTTCCTTCACAGGTGGGCTGACAACTTCAGCGCTGCTGGCTGCGGTGGGACGGAAGAGCACAGCTTCCAGCACCCCTTCCTGCAGGTGAGACCCCAGCCTGGTGCTGTAGGGCATCCCACTGGGTCCGACCACCCTGACCCACCTCTCCCACAGGCCGTGGGCATGTTCCTGGGTGAGTTCTCCTGCCTAGCTGTGTTCTACCTGCTGCTATGGAGGGACCGGCGGAGGCCGGAGCCCAGCATGGCGCCATCACAGCCCTTCAGCCCGCTGCTTTTCCTGCCCCCTGCACTCTGCGACATGACTGGGACCAGCATCATGTATGTGGGTGAGTGCTGGGGAGAGGCTTTGCCTCTCTGAGACCTCAGAGCCTCCTGCAGTGGTGTTTGGGATGGGTGCAGACCCCTGAGCAGAGGAGTGGTGGCACACACAGCTCAAGGGTGCTTTCTCCCCACGCAGCCCTGAACATGACCAGCGCCTCCAGCTTCCAGATGCTGCGAGGATCCGTCATCATCTTCACTGGGCTCCTCTCTGTGGCCTTCTTGGGCCGCAAGCTGGAGCTGAGCCAGTGGCTGGGCATCCTGGTCACCATCGTAGGGCTGGTGGTGGTGGGACTGGCTGACCTGCACAGCAGCCACGACCAGAAGCACAAGCTCAGCGAGGTGATAACCGGTATGTGGTGACCCTGCGGGGTGGCTGCAGGGAAATAACCCTGGCCACCTCCCTGTGCACAGCTCCAGATCAGCCACACTGCCTGCCCAGGGGTGCAGGGCTCGACCTTTCCCTCTTTTCCCCCTCAGGTGACCTGCTTATCATCATGGCACAGGTGATCGTTGCCATCCAGATGGTGCTGGAGGAGAAGTTTGTCTACAAACACGACGTGCACCCGCTGCGGGCTGTCGGCACTGAAGGTTTGCTGCTGCGTGGGGCCTGGCTGAGGGCATTTTTGGGAAGAGGCTTTGCTCAAAGGGCTGCAGTGCAGAGAGAGCTGCTTTGTGGGGGGGGCAGGGAGCACCGATGGGGTTTGGGGGCTGGATGTTACAGTGCAGGAATGGTTGGCACAGGGGGAAAGGGTAGCTTTGGGCTGTGCTTGAAGCCAGCTTCTGTCTCGTGTGTCCCTTCCTCTTTCCCTAGGTTTTTTCGGTTTCATCATCCTGGCCCTGCTGCTGGTCCCTATGTACTACATCCCAGCGGGCAGCTTCAGCGGGAACCCCCGGCAGGTGCTGGAGGATGCCCTCGATGCCTTCTGCCAGATCGGCCGGCAGCCCCTCATCGCCCTGGCCCTGTTGGGTAACATCAGCAGCATCGCCTTCTTCAATTTCGCCGGCATCAGCGTCACCAAAGAGATCAGTGCCACCACCCGCATGGTGCTGGACAGCCTCCGCACCGTCGTCATCTGGGCTGTCAGCCTGGCAGTGGGTTGGGAGCTTTTCCACGGCCTGCAGATCTTGGGTTTTGCCATCTTGCTGATGGGTGCTGCCCTCTACAACGGGCTGCACCGCCCTGTGTTCGCTCGCCTGGCCCAGAGCAGGGCTGATGGCAGCGAGGCCGAGCGGGAGGGATTGCTGCATGCAGAGAACACTGCCATCAACAGTGAACGCTGAGCACTGTGACCTGTGGGACTTGTGCTCCTTCCAGGAGGAGCCTTTCTGCTGCCTCACTGTGTGGAGGCGTGGGGAGGACACTGCTGGGCTGTGCATGCCTGCCTTTCCTTGGCACGGACAGGGCCAGCTTGGTAGGCAGAAGGCTCGCAATGGGGCTGGCCCCACTGATCCACGACCTGTGTTGCTGCCAAATAAAGTGCTCCTGCCCATGATTTGCTCTGTGGTATCCTGGCAGAGGGGAGGGTCCAGCAAGGTGCTGGATGATGGGGTTTGCCCTTAGGGTGGTGTGTTCCTTGTGTGCCCCCATCCCTGTGTTCCCCCCATCCCTGTGGGATGAGAGCACCGATGTGTGCAGCATCTGTGTGTCAGTCCCAAGCAGCCACGTTTTGCAGCTGAGCCAGCTGCCATGGGAAAGAGAAGGCAGTGAGCCATGGGGGGGCCCATGCATGGCCCCGCAGCAGCTCTGCTCCTGCTGTGCTGGCTCTGGGGAGGCCAGCTGCTCACCCCAGGAACAGGAAGGTGTCAGTGATGGCAGCCTTCAGCTTTCTCCCCTTTCGCAACACCCGACGACTCATCCCAGCATTGCACAGCTGTTTTTTTTCCGCAAGGTTTATTTGTGCTGGGGCACAGCCCAAGAAGGCACGGGAGGAGAGCGCAGCCGACGGGGAAGTTCACTCTACCTTTATTGTCTGGTTCAGGCCCTGAAGGGCCCAGCAGCGGGAGCGGTGGTGACGGCCTTTGACCCACTGATGTGGGGATGGGGCAGCAGGAAGGACAGCTACTCTCTGCCAGAGGAAGGAAGGGAGGGGGGTGAGGCACAACAGCTTCCAGCCTAAGCAGGCTGAACCCTCAGCCTGGGCTGCTGGAGGGTTTTAATGCTTCAGAGCAGCTCCAGTATGCTGCATACAGCCCTAGAGGATGCAGGGGATGGGGAAGTAGGGGACCCGGGGACCCGACTCACATGGTGTTGTTCTGCTTGTAGTGCTGCAGTGCCTGCTCGGCCACAATCTCCATGAAGCGTGGATCATCCCAGGAGATGTCCCCAGGCACAGTGAGCGACAGTGGCTCTGAATCAAAGAGCTGCACAGTCACCTGCGTGTCTGCAGGGGCTGACGGGTCCTCGAGGTTGGGAGTTTTGGAGAACACCTGCAGGAAAAGGGGCCCAGAGAGAAGGCTGAGTCCCCATCGCACCCCCACGCTGCCTCCCCAGCTCTGGCATCCAGCCCCACGGCCTCTATTGTGCAGAGGGGACCAGACAATCGCTTCTTTCTCCCCCTGACCCACTTTCCCTCACCCACGGAGGGGGGGCCCAGAGCCTTTGGCAGAGCCCTGGGGACAATAGGGACGCACCGTGGTGACCTGCAGGAACCCATCAGTGCCCTGCGTGAGGTTTCTCAGGCGTGAGACCCAACCGAACTGGCGGTTGAGCTGGTCCAGGAGGCTGCTGGTGTTGAGCATCTCAGCCTGGAAGGCGCTCAGGAGGTCATCGTAGCGGCGGGTGAAGCGCTCAGCCAGGCGCAGGGCATCCTCAAACTGCTCCCGCAGCTGGCTCTGCACCGGGTCTGTCTGCGAGCAGTCTGCAGGGCATGGATGGAGGTCAGGGAGCACTACAGCGTCCCCATCCCCTGCATCCCCTGCACCCCCATCTATCCCATGCATTCCCATCCCCTGCATTCTCTACATCCCCCGCACCTCCATCCTCTAAATCCCCGTCCGTTGCACCCCCTGCACCTCCATCTCCTGCATCCCTCTTCTCCATCTCCTGTAGCCCCATCCACTGCATCCCTACCCCTCGTATCCTCTGCGTATCATTCTCCTACATCCCCACCCCCTGCATCCTCTGTGTCTCCATCACCTGCATCCCCATCCTTTACATCCTCCACATCCCACTCCCTGCGTCCCCATCCCTTCTATCCCCTTGCATCCCCACTCCCTGCATCCCATCCCCCTGTACCTCATCCCCATGCCCCGCATCCTTTCATAGCCCCCTCCCCACCTCACCCTGCACCTCCTCAGCCAGGCACAGCCCCCATCTTGCCCCCCTACCCACCCACAGCCAGGATCTCCCGGCACTTCTCGCACTCGTCCCGCATCCGCAGGCAGCCAGCTGAGTTGCGCCGGATCTCACGGCACACCATGCGATCGGTGCTGAAGTTACGGGGTTCTGCAGAGAGAAATGCATTAGGGAGCTCCCCACACTTGGGACTGCCCAAAATGTGGCCACAGCAAAGGGAACGTTGGCCAGCCATGATCACCCCAGCAGAGATATGGAGACACGGATGGTGGACTGATGGATGGATGGGGAATCATGGTTGGATGGGGACAATGGATGGGAGACCAATGGATGGATGGGGGACCATGGATAAGGGACCAATGGATGGATAGGAGACCATGGACGGAGGGGAACAACGGATAGGAGACCAATGCATGGATGGGGGATCGTGGATGGATGGGAACAATGGATAGGGGAACAATGGATGGAGGGAGGACCATGGTGGGAGACCATGAATGGATGGGGGACCAAAGGATGGAGGGGGGACCATGGATAAGGGACCAATGGATGGATAAGAGACCATGGACGGAGGGGAACAACGGATAGGAGACCAATGCATGGATGGGGGATCGTGGATGGATGGGAACAATGGATAGGGGAACAATGGATGGAGGGAGGACCATGGTGGGAGACCATGAATGGATGGGGGACCAAAGGATGGAGGGGGGACCATGGATAAGGGACCAATGGATGGATAGGAGACCATGGACGGAGGGGAACAACGGATAGGAGACCAATGCATGGATAGGGGATCGTGGATGGATGGGAACAATGGATAGGGGAACAATGGATGGAGGGAGAACCATGGTGGGAGACCATGAATGGATGGGGGACCAAAGGATTGGGCAACCATGGGAAGATGGGGCCAACAGACAGATGGGGGACACGGATGGGGGACATCCCCCATTCCAGGCCTTGGTCCAACAAGCCCAGACTGCACCGCAGGGCTTTCATGAACCATTCAAGCACTTTTTCCAGGCAAGTTTGACTTCACCGAAAAACATTTCCTGGCTCCGAACGAGACATTTTCCGGACCAGAATACTCTGTGCCAACCTCTGTTTTGCAATCAGCACTGTTCCCAGCTGCCCTGCGTGGAGCCATGGCTCTGACCCAGCAGACAGTGACGGAGGTGACAACGCAGGGATGGTGACAACATGGGGCCGGCCCCTCATGAGCACATCCAAACCCAACACCAACTCATCCCTCTGGCATCTAGCCCCCCCCTAAGGTGCAACTATAGGCGAAAACCACCCCAAAACCCATCCCAGTTCTGCTAACGGCAGAGCCTAAGGCTCCCAGGTTTCCATGTGGATTCTCCGCTGTCTCATATTAGGGTTGAGCTCATCCTCCACGCTGACAAGGAGGGGGAAGTGCGGCGGTGCAGCGCTCCTACCTGACGCCCAGCCTCCCAGCGGGTGCTCCCAGGCGCCGTGCCCCCCATCCAGCATGCGCTGCGTCATCTCAAAGAGCGGCTGGAAGAGGCGGTGGAAGCCGTGCACCGGGTGCTGAAAGAAGGGGTGCAGCTCTCGGGACAGCCTCCTGCGTGGCACCAGGTGGACACGTTGCACGGGTGGGACGAAAGCCTCACGGAAACCACCGAAGGGCGGCGTTCGGAAGAAGGGGAAGGCGGGCCCGTAGAGCTGGGTGCTGTCCTGGAAGATGTCCTCCACGCCGTCCTCCATCAACCCGAAACGCTCCTCCAGGTCCTCGAAGCGCCGCTCCTGCCGCTGCTCCCGATCCAGCAGCTCGTCGATGCGCTCGCCGTTCACCCAGATGGAGAAGGGCGAGGAGCGGTTGAGGAATTCCTCCAGCTGTGGTGGGATTGGGGTCAGCACGGAACCCCAAAAGCCCCACCACCCCTATGACGCCTCCAGCCCAGCTCACCTGGCGGCCCACCAGCCCCGAGCCACTGTGGCATATCTTAGAGTAGACACGCATGCAGGTGTGCTTGAGGCAGGGCTTGCACTCCTCCCACAGTGACAGCATCGTCTCGTTGCACACCTCCTGCTTCTCTGCCAGCTGCTTCTCCTTCTCCAAGGCCAGCTTCACTGCCTCCTGCATGGCACAGCACACCAGCCCCCAGATCAGCTCCCTGCAACCCTGCTCCCCCAGCCCTCCACACCTCACTCACCTCCTTCTTCCTCTTGGTCTCTTCCAGCGTGTGCAGCATTGCCTGGTGCTCCTTGCTGGTTTTGTCCATCAGTGTCTTCATCTGCTTCACCCCATTGATGGCGTTCTCCACTTCAGTGTCAATGTACTTGCTGCCAGCTGCTGAGAGCTCTGCAGGGAGGGTGGATGGTGGGGGATGGATGGAAGGGAGGGAGAGAGGATGGATGGGAGGAAGGATGGAAGGGAGGGAGAGAGGGAGGATGGATGGATGGGATGGAGGACGGATGGAAGGATGAGTATCTGTGAGCTCACTGCTCCCAAGATGAGTCGAATTTCCCCCAGTGCATGCAAACATTTGCTCACAAAAGTCAAGTTCACAAAACTCAATAAAAAATTACTTAAAAGCCAAATCTTAACCCATCTGGGGCTGCATTCCCCTCCCCTCCGCAGACATTATTTGGGCACTGTCACCCATGGGTTCACCCCCACCCAGCAGCCACATTTAAGCATCCAGATCCTGTCCCATATTCACATGAGGATGCTGAGCCCCATCCCCATGGGCGCAGCACTCACCCCTCCCCGCTGCCAGCAGTGAACGCCCTCCCCAAAAGCAATGGGTTCAAGCATCCTTTCCGTGCATCTCCCCCCACCCCTACACCCCAAAACCCCCCACTTACGTTTCAGCTCGTTGGGGGGCATGAGGCTTTGCTCCCCTTGGCAGACGAGCACCAGGCTGAGCAGGGCGAGCAGCGGCAGCGCCATGGTCCCCGTCCCAGAGCCGCCCAGACCTGCGTGGGTGAAGGCAGTGAGATGGATTGGGATCCGGGCACGGGGCTGTGAGTCAGCAGTGGGCACGGGGCCACCGCCGTGGGCACAGCGTCGGGTAGGGCTGTGCCAAACTCCGATGCAGCCAAGGCACCGAGCGGGACTTTCTGCTCCTCTTTTTCTTCTGCCTGCGTTCACACGGAGGGGGAGGGGGGGGGGGGGGGAGGGGGGGAAAGGGAGGGAGGGAAGGATATCGGGGGAGGCAAAGCCCCGCGATTTGCCCC